CGCCAGTATACCACTGTGAAACTGCTATATCAATGCTGACATCCCCACCGCCCGCGCTTGACGCGCTCGTACCCGCATCCCTGCGTTCCGCAAAGATCGAATTAATTGACCTGAGAACAATACTGCCATGGGATGTACAGACGATCGTAGAGAGCGTTGAACGCACGGGGAGACTCGTCATCGTGCACGAGGCGAGCGTTACTGCAGGTGTAGGCGCGGAGATCGCTGCGGAGGTGCAGAAGAGGTGTTTCTTGAAGCTGAATGCGCCAGTGAAGCGAGTTGCAGGATGGGAGTGAGTTATCGAGTCGATCTCAAGTCCTCTGTCCGTTGGGCGCTAATGATTTTGTGCTTATAGCGTTCCTGCTGCACTGCAGTTCGAGAAATTTAATGTTCCTGATTCGATTCGGATTCTGGACGGTATAATGGAGACACTCAGTTATTAGGTATGGCATTGCACGCGCATGGAATGACTATGGACGGACCACAGCAAGAGCCATCGTAGCATAAATAAATAATGTACAGTTCTAATCACAATATACCATCATGGAAGACATGACCCTCCGTAACTTGTCGATTTGATACGTTTTCCATCGTGCATGGGAACTTCAGGTTGGGTGCAATGAGGTGGAGTACAAATACAATTGACCGAGAGCCCTGGATAATTCTAAGCAGCGTCGACAAATGATTCCCGATATGAAGTTCAGGTGTGGACAACAACGACCCATCGTTCCAAGGATCTATTCTCGAATAGCGCGGCCTCCCAAGCAAGTAGGAACCGATGCTCGCGCCACGCCATCTGACCCCAACTTTCTACGAACGACTGCCTCAGCGCGCTGTCTTCCTCAAGAGCATCATGCGCCCGCACAAGCGCACCGGCATACTCCTTGGAGACATTCGTCACGGTATCAATCGTCAAAGGCCTCTGCGGCTTGGGGGATTGAAGCTTGAGAACCTCAATCACGTGCTCAAGGGAGATCAAAAGCGACGTTGTTGTGCGTTGGGGGAGGTCGGGGACTCCATTCGCAGATGCGGGATGGCATGCACGTGTATGCTTCCGGGGGAGAAACGGGATAGTTGCAGCGATGTAGGTGGTGCTGAGAAAAGATATGCCCGGCGAGAGGGTGGTGAATTCGATGATTGTGGTGTTTTCATTGTTTGAAGTGCCGGTCGGATTGTGCGTTTTGGTTTTGAGATGTTGGATGAATTGTGTAATGTGCACATAGGGGAGCATATCGAGGTTATGCACGGGCTCAGTGCGGTCGCAGACGAGAGGGAGAACTATATTTTCGAGGGGTCCGATTCCGCTAGAACATCGTTGAAAATGGTGAGATACACACCCTGCGATTCAGTAAACCTACAGTTCGGGTGACGTTGTACTCCCCAAAGCTACAACATAGAATGCGACTCGATGAGACTTGGGCGCCGAGGGGTAAATAAACGTGGGCTCGCCCACCTGGCTGCTTTCCATACTACCCATGAATCCAAATTTCCCGGCCAACATGGTAAGAACCACCAAAACAGCTCCGCATAAGAATCACGAGTTACCTTCATAAAAACCAGCCAATCAAGGACCATAAAACACCGAGTATATCCTAGCTGAATCTTGACGGCCCACGCATACACCCTCGTATTTCCATCCAAAAGGCTCGGGAGGTCACCTATCGGATCGCGCAGCTCGATCGTACCGGCATATATATCGTCCATGAGCGCAGAAAGCGGTAAGGATAGGGATTCTCGTCCGGAAAGACTCGCCGCCTGGGCTAGTTTAGTGTATCGTTTGGGCCAGAGAGAGCATGAGGGACATATGATCGTCAATAGAGCTTCGAGTGCACTGCGCGTTTTGGCGACGTTCTCGCGACGTCGTCGCGTGTGATTACGAGTAGAGAGAACGAAATATGACCACGAGGTACAAACCAATAGGAAAAGAGAGGTCATTGGTACGAGTTTAAATTCCCTTGATCGTAGCTCGGAATATAGGGTCAGGGCGATTTGGAGGAGATCGGGGATTGCTTGTTTGTTCACCCGGGTTTTGAGGAAGATCCATGGGGTTTTGAGGGCGAAAGTAACGAGAGAATATATACGTTCCTGCTGGGCAGCTGGCCAAAATACCTGTGCAATGGCAAAGGAGGCCATGATGGAAGAGACGACACCAATAGGATTTGAACCTGTGCCCTCTTAAGATGGCGTGGGAGTGAATCCCCTTCTTGTATCTGTCGCGCCGTCCCAAGAAGGAACCGTCGCCCTCTACCGTCACGTATTGTTGGAGATCTGCACATTGTTTCGTATTCCCTTGCTGATAAACGTGAACCAGTCGAGGTTCGCCGTACTTTGTATGCAATGTCACCATGCTCACAGTGCACTACTCTAACCGTTCCTCTTCAGATGTCAAAACTTGTGACTAATGGCATCGAAACTCTTATGAAGGGCGCATATGGGCGCATATATCAGGTGTGTACTTGATTTATATTCAGAGCCAACCGTCTGATGTAGATCATAGCAGGTTGCATATTTTGTGGACCACTACAAACTCCAACGCGTTGACGAGCCCAAATCGTTCTTTGGTGCGCTGGAAATGTGAATGATTTAAGAGGAAATCTACGGGTCAGCGATAAACAAGAACAAGTGAGTCTCGGAGCTTGATTGACTTGCGATCTGCTACTGACCAGCATATATGCGGTGTAGGCGCTTCAAATGGACTTGTGCTTCTAGCTTGCATATAATCATGGCATTCGACCGTCAGCCATGGGAGCTCCCTATAAACAATTCGAGGTAGCAGGGAAATACCTAAAACATAAGGTGCGTTTCTCAATCTGGAACGCACGACTGCCCTTGACATCTTGCAGAATATCAAAATATTGCGCCTTAGCTATGGATCATGGCAAGTTCAAATCGACTACGACCACCTGAAAGGATATAACCAGGTGGAAGGCAAGCGGTACGCATCTTTCATAGTTTACTTGTCTGCTGTAATTTAACGTCCTTTCCGGCCAGCCTTGTAACCAACAGCCACCCCCTCGATCGACCAGAAAATGTTGCGTTTGAAATCGGCCCCATCGTTGTCTGCCTTTTCTTACTGAGAGGCGTTCTTTACCACAATGACATCGAATCATTACTAGCCGACCCGTCATTTGAAGTCAGGATGCGTCCGGAGTTTGCAGAGTATCCAGTGTTTCGAAAGGATGATCCAGGAGGATATGGAGTGCAGGCCCTACTTCCAATGCGATCTGGGTCTATGGGGGCCCTCTTAAAGAAGACCTGCGACACTCTGGGACTTGGTACGTATATTGTTTCTGATTCATGATTTTCCGTTGAGCACCATGCTTGGACAGGCGGCACGCTATACTTGGCGACGCGATCTGGGGGACACGCTGCTTGAGGTTGCGAATGAAGACGTTTCTCGGGACGCCTTAGCGCATTGTGCTCATTCCACAACTTTGGTGAGCGCATAGAGTTGAAACTATGGCCTACATACTAACACATTTGCAGCGCACTAACTATTCTCGTGGTGCGGGTAACCTTGACTTCCAGGGGGCCAGAAACGGAGAGCGAATGGTTGACAGGAACGAGTTGAATTTCATGAACGTTGCAGCGCTTGATCCAGGGGTTGGTCTGCCCGAAACCAGCGCAAATGCAATCGATTTGTTCTAGAAACCGTCATCTGTTGCTCGTTACAAAAATGTAATTCACTTAGAACACTCAAAACTTGTTACAGGCATCGCGATCGCTGTCGATGTACGTCATCTGAGTTTTGGCAATGTCCTCGTTGATATATGTCATGTACTTACATCAACAAAGATAATGGCGCAAGCCTTCTGGTCGTCTTGCGGTGGCAGGACCTTCTGATTAGTTGAGGTATGGCACTTTATTTTTGATGTCCGTCTCCTAATGAATTAACCTTCATTAATTCAGTGTCAATTATATTGGTTATGACGCCTATGAAATGGGATCCGTCTTGGTTTTCACTGCCGATACTACTATGCCAGAATAATCTTCACTCAAGTGAGATCTCTTTGATGCTGCAGGGCTCAGAGCCGCTGAGGGATGGAGACATGGCCCAGGTGACACTCAAAACTCATCGAAATATACATTATGTGCTTAAAAGATTGTCATCATATCTTCCCGATCTCACTGTGTGCAGCAGCAATCAATCGGATCCAGCCGGTTTGCAACGATAAAGGGTGGGCTCGATTTAAACAGGTCAGTGAAGCAAACAGGTGACATCAGCAGGATGTAAACCTGCGCCCTCCTAAGATGTCCAATGACCACCAGATTGTCATCATGATTTGATCAACTTCATGCACTCAGACTCGTACTCAGAGGTCAGATAGGCCGAAACCCCCGTTTTACTACTGCAGCAACCACGATGCCAGCATTAACCTTCAGTTACGCACTTCATTTCAAACTCTGAGATGAAATACGTTACTAAAGATTATAACTCACCACCAATCATGGGTGGTATGGACGGGAACCCCCCTGCAAGCCAACGATGGTGGGCTCCCACCCGTACCGCTGCAAACCTAATACATTTCCCAGCTGCTCTGACTCTGGGCGACGAGCCCGTTCCCTGGTTGGCTCTTAGAGTAGGCCACGAGGAATTCTTGACATCTGTTTCCCCGTGAACTAACCTTCAATGTGCCAGTTCTATGTAATAACCAGAACGCCTTCGTATATCTAATGGCAGTGTCTGTTCTGTACTTGTATGTAGTTCAATTTGCTACTTTCAAGGGCCAACATGCTATACAGTGATACACCTGCACAACATATATCCCATTGCACCATTCCTAAGTTGTACGCTTTTCAATTTTTGTTTATTGCAAAAATGACATTTGCTTTCTTGGCCACTATCGTCTTTGTCATTCACAACACCCTCTTGTAGTCGCGAAACTCTTGTAGTTTCATGCTGATCAACTTCAAAAAGTCTGTAGCCAGCCTAGACATGAGGCTATTGGTTTACAGTAATTGGGGGGACCAATTTAATGCAGGAAATTGGAGCAAAATTCCGACACAGGCAGGATTTGAACCTACGCCCTCAAAGAGGAACAGATATTACGTAATTCGAATCTGTCGCCGTAACCACTTGGCTACTGTGCCTCAGTTACTTCTGGTCTCTGAATCCACGATAGCTGCACTATTTCCAACTTTGCTAACCTTTGACAATGATACTGAGAAGGAAGACAATCGTTCCTTCTAAATAATGTTTGCAGCGGCCTTTATCTCTTTGAAGAAAGACATTCTACCTTCGCTCACTCGCAGCGCTTTCTGATATCAGCTCTCAACATATATTGTCAATGCAGAAAGAAACATCGTTCGAACTTCTCTCAATCAAAGCGCGGAACAGTTTTGATCCAATTCTCTCCCCGGAATGGCCACTGCACAGAACGTCGGGCAAGCCGCTGTCTTCAATCACGGTCCGTACCGCATGAGGTCAGCTGAACCAGGTTCCTGCGCTTGTCTCTGGGCTCCCAGCTCATCCATGAATCTAAACGACAAGCCAATCGATTTCATGATGACAGATTTAGAACCACAGCTCTCTGACGCACGATTCCAAAGGAATATGCATATATGGCCTGCTCAGACCTCGTGCATCAACACCACAGGCATGCTTGCGACAACAGTCAACTCGTTGCATGCGGATCCGACCGAGATGTGAGAAGTGGGCCCCACATAAGCATCGCTTTCGACACACGAGACATCATCGCGCGAACCAATCCTGCTTCGTGATGCTTGACAGGCGTGAAGGCAAACGAACCTCGGAGAAACGTTTGCACAAATCAAAAACGTCGATATTGGCTCTCGTTGGACTTGCGAAGACAACGCCGAGCATATACATGTATATCCAACGTAGGTGACTCGTACGGGACTGGAAGTTGTATCGCGGCGCGGAACTTGTTCGCCATTAATATTTCTTGCGCCTACAGAGAACTTAACTACTCTGTAGGCTTCCTCATGGGAAGTTTACTTAGACGCTCACCATCACCTTAATAGATCAAGGCAGTGGGTGCGAGTATGATTTATATCTCAAAGTAGGCGGAGAAACTTGCCCTCGCTGACTATCATGTTCTATCATACTATGCATCTTCAGCTCTTTTCAGTGGCGATTTTACTGCTCAGATGCCTTCGGGAAGTTCACGCTCAGAACGGTAGATATGGTGATCCCACTATTGCTAGCTGTACTCTGACAGCAGATTATGCATGGGTGGGTCATCTCTCCGTTTCACGTCGAGTGATCCGTTGACAAGGATGATTGGCAGGCAGCTAACACCTTTGGAAACGATCCTTGTAATGTCGCTGGGCTTTTGTTGATGCAAACTACATCCCCATGCAACGACGGTGCTTCAGCAGTCATACCTTTCCTCGTCGGAAAACACTGATGTTTCTGTTTTTCTTATCTGGACAGCTGGATATTCGATTGCGCCGCTTGGAAGTAACCCCTATTATGAAGCTCCTTATGCTCCCTACGCGAATCAATGTCTCTGCAACACTGTGATATATTCATTGATCAGCGCGTGTTCGCTTTGCCAAGATAAATCCTATTCATAGTATGTTATTTATTCGCTCTTGACGTTACGCGGGCAACTAACGAAGCTGCTCTGATTTTCGTTATTACCGCACTTCTTACTTTATCGTTCTGCCTTGATAACGTCATACAGCTTTTCTTTGTGGATCGAGAATTGCCCAGCTAACGAGACACTGTATCAAGTGTAAGCTCACTTTCTCCCGTATCCCCTCTGTTGATCATTTGTCGTTGAGGTGTCCGCTGACATTAAATTCATTAGATGGCCCGCAGCTGTGAATTCGACGGTCAACGCAATCCCTACATGGGCCTATATACCTCTTTATGCAAGTCTATTCCGCTTGATAGAATACAAGAAGAACTAATACAGTATTCAAGAATGACGCTTTTAATCCAAATCTCGCCTCGATTAATGCAAGTAAGCAACTCCAACACCTCCCAACTTTTTGAAAGCTAATCTCGGTATCGTTAAGCTGCGACCACTATCCCGGTCACCAGCGGAACAGTAGTAGTCATCAGCACATCATATTCTACTCCCAGCACTACCATTTCACCTTTCCCATCACCAACGACCTTTTCGTCCAGTGCGAAGCCCACGCAGGATGCTGGAACCATTTCTGCTGAGGTGATAGGTGGTGTAGCAGGTGTAGCCTTATTGGCTTTTATCTTTATCTTTCTCTGGCGCCGTCGTCATCGTTCCAAACAGTCAGAATACCAGCCAGCCACCAAAGCCGAAACCGGGGAGCAAGAGTACTACGACCGCTCTTCGACAGCTTTAAGTGGACTTCCTGGTCCTAGGAACAGTTTGGCAAAATTTTATGTGAGGAATCATATTTTTTCAGGATTCGTAGTATTTACGCTGCATCCATGGGTTCAGAATCCGTCGCCATTTACTCCTGCATCGTCTCCCTCGAACAGCCCCAGAACCTATTCTGGTTTCTATTCTGGAGCCCCGGAACCTATGACTTTAGGATGAGCGAATCGAACATCAAATCGTTAAAGTTTCGTTTCGTTTTGTAACTGGTACCTCCTTTGTTCAAGGACGCTCGTGTACGTCTACGAACTGTACAATCAAATCTCATTTGAAATTATAAAGACAGTTTGATAAGTATTTATTATCAATCATTGCTTCGTACTTTCTCTACTTACAAACTCGTTATTCAATGTCGCAGTAGTTTGTGATCAATGATTCGCTGCGATTGGATTTTATTGGTTAGTGACTTTCAGTAGAGCTCGTTCTTCTAGTACTTACCCCCGGAACGTAACCAGGACTCGTTTATTCCCCAATAATAAAATTGCGGAACAATTGAATTTTGAACCATTTATTTGACATTGACCGTGAAACTCTCAATAATGCACTTTCTTGTCAACTGATCCAAGTTTTCTGTGGGATATCTGTCAGACTTTGTATCATTGTGAGCTCCCGACTCATCTATGAGTATAAATAGCACTTTACTGACAAGCCCATCGGTTTCGTTAGAACGACGGCTCTCCGAATCGTGTTCTCAAAGGGAATGAACATATATGGCCTGTTCAGACCCCGTGCATCAATGCATCAGGCATGCTTTCGACAACAATCAACTCATCGCATCGGATTCGACCGAAATGTGAGAAGTGGCCCCCACATAAGCATCGCTTTTGACACGAGATATCGTCGCGCGATCCAATCCCGCTTCAAGCCCCTTCGAAATAGGCATAGGCAAGCTGTTCTAAAATGTTTGCACAATCCAGCAATTTCTCTATTGGCTCTTGTTGGACTTCAGGCCGCACAAATAACTGGAGCTAGCTATCTTGTACGGACTGGAAACCATAGTGCATGATTTCGACCCGGCAGTTATTGTGTTCTGCGCCCACAAACATCTACATGCATCTTCATGAGAAGCCACCCTAGACGCTCATCTTCACCTTAAAAGATCGAGGCATTGGGCACGGCTGATATTTAGCTCCCAAACCGGTCTCACAAGTTCACCCTCGTCAACATCATGTTCTACCGCCGCGGAACCGCAAATCTTCACCTCTTTTCCAGGGTGCTTTTACTGCTGGGATATCTCCCGGACCTTCACGCCCAGACTAATAGTACTCCGTCTATTGGGTGTACACTAACTACTCAATGGGCATGGGTGTGTATATCTCTGCTCTAAGTTGAGCAACGTTGAGAAGGATTGTGCGCAGTCGGAAAATATCTGGGGATATGATCCTTGTGATGTTGCCCTTTTATTGTTTGAACCACCACCCCATCCATGCAACGACAGTAGGCAGCAGCGACACAATTTGATTTACGAAAACGCTTACTGATTCTGAGCTCATGAGCAGGCGGTCTCAATTTTTACCAACTTACCACCACCGACTACTATCCGCCCCCTAATGCATCCGATGCCAATCAGTGCTTGTGCAATACTGTCATTTACTCGTTGTTCAGCGCGTGTGGGCTTTGTCAAGGTAAATCCTTTCTGTAGTACGTTATTTCGCGGAATTATATGGTCAAACCATCTAAGTCATTACCACCACCGTTATAGCTGGTCTGAGTGGATCAGTGCCTGCCCTGCGAGCGAGACTTTGTATCAGATGTTCGTTCGCTAATCGACCCACAGAGATCGCCACTGATACTCTTCTCTTTAGATGGCCAGCCAACATATCATCGGATGCTTCAGTCCCCGCATGGGCTTTTATGCCTCTTTATGTAAGTCTGTATCACTTGATAGAACCTAACAGGGACTAAGTGTTTATTCAAGAATGGCTATTTCGATGCAAACCTAGCCTCGATTAATGCATGTAAGCCGCTTCAGGACGTCATTAAGCTCACTCGCTTATTGCGAGTTGATTTCGACACCTAAAGCCATTATCTCAACTACGGCAGTCATAAGTGGTACATTCACAACAGCCGTATTGCTCAGCACAAATTATCCCACCCCCAGCACTACGTTTTTGCCCTATACCTCTTCAGCTGTCCCTTCATCCAATACTTCATCCAATACGAAGTCGGCGATCAATGCTGGAGCTATTTCCGGTGAAGTGATAGGTGGTGTAGTGGGTGTTGCTATCATAGCTTTTGTCATCATATTTCTTTGGCATCGTCGTCGTTCCCAAAAGCCAGAATATGAAACAGAAACCAAAATCGAAGGAGGGGAGCAGGAATACTACGACCGGTCGTCGACAGCTTTAAGCGGATTTTCTGGCCCTAGGAATGGCTTGCCGAAACTCTATGTGAGTGATCGGCTTTCTACTGGCTTTTCAGTGTTTATATGGCATTACATTTTTCTCAGAATCCGAATGACCCGACTACATTCCCTCCTTCGTCATCTCTTTCGACCAATTCTCGAACCAATTCCGGATTGTACACTGGAGCTGCTGAGCCTATGATATCAGGGTGAGAGTACCAGAGAGCAAGTCGTTCCATGCTGCCTTTTATAATTGGGACGAAATATATATCAAAGACGCGGCGCTCCGGTACAATCTACTCTCATTTGAACTATGAGGACATGATGGTTTACTAGGCATGGAGCTGTTTAAAGAGACCATATTTAGAGATGCGTAGATCTGGCGGTAGTGGGTGACTGAAAGATACCTCGGTCTTGGT